AGAATTAAAGGCCTGGATCAATCTTTTCTCTAAACCCTGTTCTGGCTTTTAGAGTCACGTGTTGAAGAGGCCTCTGATGCGAACCTTTGCGGGTGCTACATAGATGCTGACATTTACGGCCTCAGATATTGTATCTATCCATCTCTTGCAAGGCCGACCCCTATATCTGCTCCCGTTATTTCGAAATGACTTGGAAGCCAGAGCTAGTCTTGACTCATGTCTGACTTATTTGATTTATTCTCTATTAATTAGTTCAGTATTGCTTTCGTCCAACATTTTCCTGATATCATCATTTAGGATCATGTTTCTCTTGGCTACACCTTTAATCTGTCGTAGACATTTCATTGATGTTTCAATTTTTCCTGTTTCTTTTGTTGTTAATGTCTGCGTTTGAGATACATATGACACAGTTGAGTCTGAATTCTTTTGTTTTTGTTTCTCATAGAAAGCTTTTTTTCCACTACTAACTTGCAAGGCCTGTCGCTGCTACAAGGAGCATTTCACCAGATGGACCCCATTCCATCCCACATTCTGAGCCAGAGACCAATCAGTCTAAGACGAAATAAAAGTTAGTTAGACGAGGCTCGAACACCATTGGTGTCGGATCTCCATAACTGCTCCGTTGCTGTGCCAGTGGAAATCGCACAAAATCTTCATTCTTCTATTCGAAAACTAGTGAATAAAACTTGTTAGTCCCAGCAAAATATGGAAGCTTGCACATGCAACATGTAAATTCATAACACATACTTCTGATGTGCCAACATTAATGTACAAAAATGTAAAGGTCCTTTTTTTTTACATGCCTTTAGGCGTAAAGGGCATATAGGGCTAGACTTGTATTTTTATAGACCAATCGGCACAAGATGGGTAATGTGGTCAGCATCACAGCGACTGCCTTTACTTCCAGGGACTGCACCCGATACCCACTCAAGGCTGTGTCGAACTGGGGGTCAAGGTCATTTTTGAAAAAAGTCTGGCTCCGCCAGGAAGCGCACCCACGATCTTCCCATGTATATTATCATATGAATATAACATGCTTATTGATAAAATACAGCTGCAGTGTGAAAGACGGGTGTTTGGAAGGGCCGAACGTAAGACGGGCCTGCGTGCCCAATTTGGGACCCTTTGAAAATAAAGATCGTTCGTTCGTTCGTTCGATGCGCACGCGGGTGTCTGGCGCTACGCCACGGCGATTCCAAGCAGTAATGGTTCCACTGATAAAAGTTAAACATAAGTCGCCGCCCGTGACGCAAGTCTTAGGCCAGTTCAGGTGGGATATCACTAATGACCTGTAGTTAGATTGCCTGCCTACCTCAAAACTTTCTTCTTTAGTTTTTGTCTTTACTGTTTCGGATGGCCTGCCCTATTGTGGTTTACAGCCAGGCCATGATATCTACCCATTTCGACCCAATAAATAAAATTTCCGTTCTTACATTTACCTAGCCTAAAATGGGTTCTGGAAATACCCTGGAAAGTAAAAGCTACCGGCTATGTAATAAGCACACAACCCACCCACTACCGACCAGCTATCAACCCACAACCTGTTAGATTATTAAACACTTGCAAGAGAGGGAATTAAACCTGTAGTTACAATGGGCTTGGCGAAAGGATACTGTGATCTTGCTGCGATATCCCTCTTCAGTGATCATTGTTGTGTATCCTTTACAGGACGTTGCAGAACCAACCCCACCGTTTTTTTGTTTTTTTCTATTATTTTTTTTTTTTTTTTTTTTGGCTATTGTGGTTTTTCTAGGCAAATTTACGCCCAGTAGTTTGCCAATTCTTCCTGGACGGTCGGCTTCCCGATACCACTGTCGAAACCAACGCAAGGCCCACAGCTACGATCGAACCCGGCACACTGGCATTACGAAGCGCGTTTGCAACGCTGTAGCCACAGACGCCGACTCTCATAAGAAAATTTTCCTCATTTGTAGGTAATTGAAAATGCAAATGTGGTGCACTGATGTTTTCAGGCTTTGTGGGTCTTACTGTACACAGTTTCTATTGTAAACGTTCATTTTAATTTATTCTGTTTAAAATCACTGTTTGATAGAGGATTCTGTGACATAATTTTCATGCATGGAGCTACCTTAAATAACAGCAGTACCAACCGAATGAAAGAAACAATGATAGCAGTAAGCTAATGTTTGTTCAATGGGTCAACATCATGGCACACGGGTTTAACCCATAAGTGCTCCATTCTTCTTCCAACTAGAGCCTGAGTCCAAAGAATCTCACACAGTGCACGAACTCTGTTGCAACAGCGAGGATCCTGAAATACTTTGAGTAGATTTGTAACTCTTAATTTTTTTGCCCAGACAGCGTTGTTAGTCTACTCTTTTTGATTTCCAACTGTTAAGGCATTTTTTTACGTGCGCAACAATACACAAGGGCGTCCGGTCTTACTACCCAAAAACCAGGGGGAAATTAGTAGAAATCCACGTGAAAAAATCCCAGCTCTCACTAAGGCTTGAACGCGGGACCTCCAGCACTCGAGGTGGACACCATACCTCGAGACCACACAGCCCCCTAGCAGAAAGCTTTAGATGAAAGACACTAAATATAGCAACATCGGTCAAGAAAAGCTATGATCTAATTGAGGAAAGCGTTTCTTAACTGGCTTGGGTCTGGCTAGTCACACTCGTCCTCGTCATGGTAGTGATTCCTATGGTTTCTCATAGCGAAATATAGCAGTATTGTCTTGAAAGACGGAATGGTGCCAAGAGACAATCGATCTAATTGTTCTTTCGTGACCCACTTGCTCCGCATATGGCCATATAAAGAATGGAGCTAGCTTTCTTCGACCCGCACTTATTATCTATTATTACATTTTCACCGTTCTTTTTAGGATGAAATTTTTCGTTATTTGAAGCCCTACTCTGACTCTTGCCGGATGCCGCGATATAGCCCGACCATAAATACGGCGTAAAGGCTGAACGCGGTTTCTAGAACCTCTCCAATGTGGTCCTCATCCACATAGTGGCACATTGTGTCATCGGCTGTTTATCGCTTGTGTGATGTCCTGGTTGGGTAGAATGTCAGTCAGTCAGTCAGTCTACCCGCACCTTTTACAAAATATTACACATACCTTTGCCAGCTGTTTTAACAAGTTTTATCCAAAGCAAGTAGCACTGGTAAGAGAAAATCAAACTTTTGTGTGTGTCAGTTATTAGTTTTGGCACCACAACAGAGAATTAGGGGAACAAATGAACATAGTCGAACCTGTTGAAACATGCATGCGGCCAACCAGCACTTAAGTAGACCACATCGTAGGGGTTAAAGTTCAAGTCTGGGGATGCCAGAAGCGGGCTGAAGCCCACACTCATCCAGACCATGGTCAACGCACAGCCTAGGTCTCCCACAGCCAGACCTGGAAAATGTGAGAGTCAAAACTGAACACCAACAAGAGAATTCTTATTTGATAATAATTACCTCCACTTTTCGGGAGCCGCCATGGTGTAGTGGCTAGAGACAGATCTAGGGGATCCGCAGGCTGTGGGTTTAGCTACTGACGGAGACTCACTACATTTAGTCTGGACAAAAAAAATCGGGACGGTAACAAAAGAAGCAGATTGGCAAAGACTTCCACTTGCACAAGCTTTCTCTCTCTTGGATACTGGAAGGTCAGAGTGTAAGACGGGCCTGCGTGCCCAGTTTGTGACCCTTTGAAAATATAGTTCGTTCTTTCGTTCGCTCGTTTCGTGACTCATTGAGAATACTCAGCAACATTGCAATATATCCAGCATAGCGAAAGTGGTTGGTCTCTAGCAAAGTACCCATTTTCACGCCTTCAAGCGCACTCGGTATATAGACCTAGGTCTACATTTTATAGACCAATTGGTACTCTGTGGGTGAAGTGATCAACACCGCCCGACCCCCTTTACTTCACAAGATTACCTGGTACTCATTTAAGGCTGGGTCGACCTGGGAGCTAGGTCATTTTTGAAGAAAAAAAATAATACCAGGCCCGTTCGTATTTGAACACATGACCTTCATATCTACAGGTATACATCTAGCTGCTCCAGCACAGTAGCTCTCTTGAGTCTCTAGAGCGGTACCTTCCGCGTAGACCTACTTCCGAGTCAACGCTGACACTCAACGTTCAGTCAACAATAGGATTAAGAAGAAAAAAGACACAGACTTTCTCTTGAGTTTTTCGAGCCGTCAGATTATAATGAGCAGCATATTACTAATCCCCCCCCCCCTCCCTTTTTTCCCCCTCCCTTACATTCCCCCAAATAAGCGACGAGCCCATTCATCGCCAATTACGTATCGGGCATGTGATGTTAGTTGCTCGATGTGGTGAGCATCGGGCCGGTCGCCTTTACTTTCCAAGTACCCGATACCCATTTTACGCCAGTTCGACCTGGGAGACAAGGCCAATTTTTTTTTTAAGAAACAAGAATTTCATGATAGGCCTTTAATGAGGAAAGAGGGTGGGGGTGGGGGGGGGGGGGGTGGACGTCTAGCCGCTTCGCGCAGTGGCTCCACTTACTATCAGGGATATCCTCAAAATCCTTGAGCCAATCCCAGTATTCTTGTGGGGAAAATAGTCCATAGTGCTGTAGCAAAACGGCAGTCAATGTTGAATGTTGAATTAGGAATCGACATCACAGCACTCGAGACACTCCCTTAGGTGCTCCGTCCCCATCTTCAACAGCAAGCGAAGCGTTCCAATTCCGATGATACCAGAAAGATTCTGATTGTTTATCCGTCTCTTCTTCTTCTTTTTCTGCCTTTCTATCCCCCAAAAAAGCATAGGCCCTGAACCAACTCACGCTAAGTCGTTCTATCTTTCGCCATTTCATGGAGCTCTCCCCATATCATTTCCATCTTTTTAACTTCATTCTCCAGTCTCTTCTCCATGCATTTTTGGCCTTCCTTTATTTCTATGCCCCTGTGATTTACTCGTTCCCAAAGGGTCCTCACAACATCCAGCTTGTCACACATCAATTTACAAAACGGCAGTTCAAGAGACAGGCAACAAACAACCTACTTACCTAACAAACTGATGTTGATGCTGTCCTTAAAGCCTTGTTTGATGAAGACGATTATATTCGTCACGTTTGCGCCTATTCCAAACAAACTCAGAATTCCGCAGATGAAGACAAACAGAACTATTCTAAACATCTCTTTGACATCACTGCTGACTGGGTCAGGGTTGCCTGACTCTATCTCTTCTACTAAGTTTATTGTCAGATCTAACAATACATTTTCTATTGTACTGTTGGCAGATCCAGTGTGAGTTCTTGGTTGCAGTAACGCATCCATTTTTCACTTATTATTCACATATCTGACAAGTGTCAAACATCTTCTTTCTACTAAATACAAAGACATTATCTAAGTAGCCAACACACAAATTCACACATTAGGAAAGCACCTTTGAAATTACTCACATATATTTGTCGTGAACTTACACAATTCAGTGGAAATAACAGAAAAGATCAGATATAAGTATTCAGTATTTTGAACCAATGAAATTTATATAAACATGCCCTGAATAGATAGTTGTGTGGGTAATGCAGCTCTGTTAATTAGTTAGTTAGTTAGTTAGTCTTTCCTCTTGTGTCGAGTGCGGCACATAGGGCAGAGGTCATGACTCTCCATGCATGGCGGTTTGTTGCAATCTGTTGTAGGTCTTGGAAATATAAATGCGGTCAGAAGCTCACTTGCGTTACGGCTCATTTTAGAGGCAATACCTTGGCTATAGACGCTGAACTTTTGAGGAGAATGCTTTCTTGGTGACTTAAACGGTGTGTAAGGAAGACTGGGATTTTCCAAGGTTCCGAGACTGTGGTTGGGGTCTCAAAATCCTGGGACGTAAAGCGGGCCGGATGAGACTGACCACACCCCTAGTGCCGTTATAAACGCGTCTGGCAAGACATGCCTAGTACCCAAGTGTTTTAAACAAGAACTCTTTATTTTACCTTTATATGCAGGCGTAATAGTGAATAATTAAGATGATTATGCAGGTGTTGTTGGCAACGAAAGAGCGATCAGACTTGCCGGTTGAGGAATTATTCCCTCCTAGATGACCTGACAATGATCGCGCCAATATTGTTAATGCCCTTTGATAGATAAGGCGGCGTCTATGGCGTTGCTAGTCTGACACGTAATTCCAACGTACCGCCACTGCTGGCTACGTGAGTTTTTATCATGGTATGGGGCGTCGCAGGTCGCCCTTGCCTAAAATGGGTACCAGGATGGATGTCCTGGGAAGTAAAGACGACCAGCTTAATGATGCTTACCACATTACCCAACCAATGCCGTTTGGCCTGTAAAAAAAATATGGGGTGCTCTTCCCATTTGCCCGATGCGCCTAAAGGCGTGAAAAGGGATCTTTACTTTACTTACTTTGATAGATAGGACGATCCGAGGATTTTACAAGCAGAGTTCTCATATCACTATTAAGAAAGCGAGAACTAGGAGTAAAGATTGGTACAGCCAGGTATGAGAGGCACATCAGACGTAAAAGAAGTCTTATTACCTAGCAAAGCACTGGCACTTTTAACCGCGGGAAGCTGGTGTATATGTTAAATAGTGAATCTGAGCACCTATGGACATGTCCGGAGTGTTGTGAAGATAACCCAAGTCATAACTCACACAAGATAATAAGCTTAGTGGCAGCTCTGTTGTATGATGGTCTAGCAATGGGCCAGGCTGACAAAACTTAGCTGTTCATTCATCCATCACAAGTCATGAGGACCACTCTTTCTTTCTTCTGTCATGAAACTGCAGTTAAATGTTTGTGGGTCCTCAACTGACTTACAAGTCCAATACGTTCTCGGAAGAGTCTATGACAATGAGGGCAGGGTACAGTGTCTGTAGACAAAGGGGGGCCTGTTTGTCGGGTCTTTCTGGCCTGTCTTCCCTGTTAAGCTGCCCTTGTTCTAGATGCCTCGCAGATCGTTGTACCATTTCGGATATATGTGCGCCTTTAAGCCCGGTCTTGGGCTGCAGCCTCCTAGGTGTCAGCGTCTAAGCTGAAGGCTTTCAAAGATACATTTAGTGTGTCACTGAAACGCTTTTTCTGCCCCCTCCCCCATGAGAAGGTCTACCTTCAAGTATCTCACCATAGAAGATTATTTTTGGGAGCCGATGGTCAGGCATTCGAACAGTATGGCCATCCCATCAAATCTGTGACTGCATCAGTATGGTATTGACAATACCTAATACTGCTAGAGAAAAAACACTTTTCCCCGCGAACCATGACATGATAGGTCTAGAAATCTGCAATCAGACGAAAACACACACGCATTCACACACACACACACACACACACACACACACAAACACACACACACACACACACTTACAACACACATACAAGGTGGGGCTAGACAGGATGAAATAAATCAAAGACAAAAAAAAAAAAAACAGAAACGGACATAGAGCAAGTATCGCTAGCTGCTGAGTAATACACGGAAGATGGAAATCTGAGAAAATATAAACACAATGGCTGGATGTATGCAATTCGAAAATCTATCCACTGGTAAGGCACGCATGTAATGGCTATAATTCCGCTTACACTTACCAGTGCTGTAGCCACGGTTCACATCTTGAATATAGCCAAAAGAACGCTCGCCACATGCTTATGCAATTCATACAAAACCGGCATCGTGTGAATGCTACCAGCTACTAGTTCTACTATTATTAGCTGGACACGCATAATCTCAACAGCCAAGTAAAGAGACAGAAAATACCATGGGATACCCTCACCAGTGTAATCGTTACCTGCTAAGGCTCACACATGCGAAATGGCCACGTCTTGTAACTCGATCGTTCCACTAATTAACTAACTAATTTGTATGATCATAAGCCTGTTTTTGACCCAGGGTTAGTGATGCATGCGAAGAATAAAATGAGGTTTATCAAAGATCTGCGAAACGTAATGCTGTTTAGTTTTCTCCTCTTTTTCCCCGTTCACCGGCTGTAAGCTCCAGCGAAAAGTTCTTGTTGTTCGTCCATTCGGACTTAGACTTTCTTCCAGGGCCTGAGTTTTGCGTGTACATACTTTTTACCTGCTTATTTGTGTGCATTTGGTTGTTCCTTGCCGCTCAGGCAGATGCACTCTGACTTCGCAAGAAGTTCCCAATAAGTCGACTCCTATGACGTGTCCTATTGGGGAGGCTGTGGCTATATTTCGTTAGCCCACACCGGGAAAATGTTTAGTAATAAGTATGAAGAGCTGAACAAACTTTAATTTGAATTGGTAAATTTGAAAAAGAGTTTTACAACGACGGCCTGGGGCGTAAAACAGGTTTAACAACAAACGCCTGAAATGAAACAGCCTTCGTGTGCGAATGGATGGAGAGATGTCCTTTCGGTAAACAACAGTCAATAAATGTGAGTCTGGATTTTAAACTGGACACTGTTTATCCAAACTATTTCTGTAGCGGCACTCCTCCCCCCCCCCCCCCCCCCACCCAACCCCCTTTTCCGAAACGTAATCAGTATAGCAGTGATGTAATCTGTGGATTCAAAGCACATCTTTATGTGAATAACAATGCGCTGTTTTGCCACCTACCAGTTCCCAGATACACTGAATTAAAAAATATACCTGAAGAAAAAATATCTCCTTCTTAATGTTTTAATTTTTAATTTTTATAAAGACAACTCTATAATTACTGCTCCTGTAATTCAGAGTTACAATTCCTTGGCTGCCATGTTGTTATCAGATGAACAATTAAAATAGTGACAGAAAACTACATAATTATTTTGGAGTCGAAAACAAATCGCCACGGGTATTCAAAGAATTTGTCAGTAGTTGAGAATACATATTATGTATTGGTTACAAGAAATAGTACTGTTACATGAATAGTAGAATATAATTAATTTCCATTTTAGCTAAAAATATCGAGCTTCAAGATTTGTAGCCGGTAAATTGTAAATGGTTATTATTAACGTTCTGACGTTAACAGTCTCTGTGACGTTATAACAGTGTATCGATGTAAGCAATTTGGGAACTGGAATTGAATCTTTAGATATGTAGATATACAGATGAATTTAGATCATGTCCTCCAACACTGTAGAAAATACTACATATCAGGGCAACACTTTTGGCAAAAGAGAAGCATCGGTGCAAGTCAAACTTTACGGGTCGCTGTGTGAATTACAAAAGACAGTGAAGTTCATACTAGAGACAACATTGCAGATATAGATAATCTATTTGAAGCGAACGAAAGAAGAAAAAGAAGAAAATGATACATTTATTCATTGTTCTATTGTGCCATTAAATGTTATAGAGTGCTTTCAGTCGATTATGTTTATTCCGTTGTCTTCTGTGCAACCACTCAGATGTCATGAATGGAACCAGCTCCAACACTTTGGGCTTGTCTCATAAGCGTTCGCTTTCGGGATTTTCTTTTATGTTTCTTTTTCCTAAGTATCCAGTTTTCCCATTTCACCAGGGCCTAAACCCAGGACCTTCAGCACTCGAGGCGGACGCCATGCCTAGAGACTACCCAGCCCCCGTGAGTTTACGAAGATCCCTGAGAATTGTCGCTACTGAGTTCGTTCTTTGTGTGACGCTCTCGAGAAAAAGCTAGCGTTTCTACAAAAACAAACAAGTTTCGATAAAATCCGGTGCAACAAAGTGTTTTTAACATTGTGATATTGGGAGCCATCGCAATCACAGCCAATGGCGATGACGGGTATGACTAGCAACTTGAGCTGAAGTAAAAAAACATACCAGAACTGGGAATATTCTCACTAGCTCTCCGTCTTAAACAGCAACCATTGAAGAGTTCAGTAACAATTTGACTATGTGTTCGTCTTACCTTTCGCCTGAGTGTACAGTGCCGATTAGATCCCCTGGTCACTCCCATTCTGTCCATACTAATGTTCACTTGTTCCAAAAGGCCTCTGACCATATCTAACTTGTCATGAATCAGTTCTCTACCAAGTGCAGAATTATCCAGTATGTCCACATGTTCATTGCCCACCACACCTTCACTCCCCAGGGGGGGGGGGGGGAGAATTACCAAATAAATTAATTTTAGTGTATCTCCTTTTGTACTATGACTAGAATGTATTTGCACTGGAGCCAGTAGTGGCTGGGAAATAGAAGAAGACTCCCACCCTCCCCCACCCAAATAAAGACACATAGAAGGCAGCTGGAGAGTGAAGTTAGAAAGATGTAGAGAACATAGTGAGAATTGCCTGCGATAGCGAAGAATGA